CCAAAACCAAATTCTCCAAACTAACAGCACAAGAACTGTATGGCAGACAGTAAGAAGAGTTACCAATGAGATATTGGGAGTAAAAGGGTTAAGGGCTACTACAGGTACATATCTAATTAACCTGAAGGTACAGCGGATGGTCGCGACTGTTCTCTTGCTTTGTTTCTTCATTATCTAGGTATGGAGTCACGCATTTTCACTTCAGGTGAGCACAAGGTTCGATTGGATCCGTTCAGCCCTCTCAAGCAAGATGATGTCGATTATGTAACAAATGTGCTAAAGCAGATTCATGGGAACTTCATTGAATTGGTGAAGGAAAGGCGACCATCACTTGATGTTAAACACAAAACTGTATTTAGTGGTGATTTTTTCACTGGCAAGGATGCTGTCTCATTCGGTCTAGCTGATAATACCTGTTCTGATTTAAGAGCTGTTTGTCAGGCAAGGTTTGGCAGAAATGTCAAATTTGAGCGCTGTGAGCCTCCAAGTGGTGTTCTGGGTAGACTTAGAAATCTTGTTACTCAGATGAAAGTTGAGGTATCTATTAATGACATGTTGGAAGAGCTGACTTTAAAACAATACAGACCTTAAACTACAATATACTTGTTACAAAAAACTCATTGCAATTCTTTTGTCAATGTATTTTTTTCTAATTATTATCATGTTCTTTTTTAATTACAAACAATTTTTATAAAGACTTAAGAAAACATACAGCTTTATTCAGTTATCAAATTTGAGCAAAGTAAGCAGCATGTTAGTTTTGATAGTTTCATGTTAGCTCAAACCTTTTCAGTATTTATAGCAGGTATACTTTCCAGCAAGCAGGTGCTAAATATTCTGATATAGTGTTGTAGCCATCATTTTGAATTGGCAAGACCAAGAAGTCTGGGACAAATGAGACAGTTTCTATTGAGGTTATTGTAAGAATGAAAACCTTGGGAAAGCAAAAAGGTTCAACATAAATTTACCCCACCCCCTCTCTACAGCTGTGCTCTGTTCACATCAGGATTTCCTCCATCCTAACAATCCAATATTATTTGGAAACAATAAGTCAAAACATCTATAATTCATTAACAGGATGACATTTAACCATGCAAATGCTAGTCCTTTGTACAGCTGCTCTATCAGGAGTAACTGAACACTTAGAAAGAAAACCCAAAGAACAGCTGTAAAGGATGCAAAGCAAAGGTATTCTGTAAGCATGTTTGGTTACACAGGAGATGCCACCTGAAACACTGTTGTAACAATACTGATTTTGTGTAAGCTAAATGAAGTATAAGAATATTTTGTGTGTAAATAAATAAATAGTTATATGTGTTTGAGTTATCTTTGATTAAAATCAGTTTAAGTGTGATTGTACACTTACTTTCCTCATTTAGTTTGGCCTTCTTGTGTTATCAAAGGTACCAAGTTATCAAAGGCGATACAACTGTCAGAGTAAAAATGGGATTTTACAAGCACATGTGCAGTTGTTGATTAATTCAAAGCCTAAAGTGTGTGCATATTTACTAACAGCAAGTGAGTCTCAACTACTTGCTGTCTTCTTTAGGTTTCTATAGCAGAGTAGGGGTAGGAGAGCATCCTTTCTTACTATTCATGGGGACAGCAGTAGGCAAGTGGGCTGGAAGGGGTCCCCCTCTCTTTACCCACTTCTACTGAAATGAATCAATCACTGTGATGTTGCAAAACATCTCCTGTTCTAATGTTACCTAATGCTCTCTGGTGAGACCCTTGCAATTCAGGACTATTAGTGGTATATCACTTTAATGATAAATCTTATGTACAATATGTTTTTCCTAGCAAAATCCACTGTGAAAAGGAACAGTTTGTTTGCTTTCTCTCCAGTGAGCAACTGATTAATGTAATAAAAATGATGGGAAGATCATTTAGTCCAGCTGACTTTTGGTATGTCATAATGTTCTGAGAGACCATCAAGATAATCATTAAATTTCTGAAAAACAAAACAAAACAATAACATTAAAGCCCTCATATCCAAAGTATTAATACTCATCAAGGATTGAAACTCAACATTTTAAGGTACTTCTGGTTTGCCTCCTTATCAAAATCTCTCACAAAGGCTGATTTGTTTATTATCAACTGTGCATGTAAAATCTATTTTAAAAAAATGAATTATGATAAAAAACACTAATAATGATAAAATAAACACAGCCTTGATCATAGTGGGACTTTTTCTCGAGCAACACAGATTCAATTCAAAAGACTGTGATAAAATATTTCTTAACAGCAGCTTTAGAGGGCATTTTGTTGATTTCCAAATGGTGATATCCATAGATTAGTTATTGGCCAATTTGAAGACAATAGTTCTGTGGTTAGTTTATTTTTCAGAATCTTAAAACTGCATCTAGTTGGTAGATTTTCATAATCACTATTCTACAGACACATTCCATGTTGCATGAATGCCTGTATAGCAAAAGACTGCAGATGATGTCAAAATCTGGTAAGAACACATTTGGCACACGAGGCACAGCCAAGTACATGTATGTCACTGATGTTTTTATGTCTTCTGTAATCTGTTGCTGTACTGACCCTCAGAAACATAGCGTTTATTTGCTTTATATGAAAAATGCATCTGTCCTCCAATAGATCATAAGTAAAAACAATCAAAATGTGTGTGTAATATTCAGCTGGTTATCAATTCATCAACCATAATGGAGATAAAAATTATAAGGTTTCTGGACATATCCTTAATACATTTTGGAGTATGTGTTTGAATGTACATACCTCAACTCTCTGTTTGTGGGTTTTCTCTGCCTTCTTCAAAATCCTCTCTGCTGCCTAAGTGAAGAAAAACAACAACAACAAAAA